GCCCCCGGAGGTTCCCAGGGCGATCTGGGAATGCCCCGGGGGGCTCTCGGCGGGGCGCGGCGATGCACAGACAGCTGGCCCACGACGCGCCCTGGGGCCAGTTATTTATGCGAGCGCCCGGGGCGGCACATTTTGCGCCCTCTGGCCCCACTCTTCCCCCGCCCCCCCCTCCCCCGCCACGGCGCCTTCCCCCGTTCCGCCCCCCCCGCCTTCGCTCCTCCCTCCCCGGGCAGGGTCGAGCCACCAGATCTGCCCTTCATCGCCAGGGGTGAGAGTTCCGGGCCTGCCCTGGAGAGGACTCAAGCGGAGGGGAAGCAGGGCGGGAGATATGCTTTTGAGCGGAGCGAAAACTGAAAAATGGGCGGTGGATGAGCGAGAGACGCTGGATGGATGTCACTCGCGCGAACGCGCGCGGCGACGGCGCATCATGCAGAGAGGCAGGCTGGACGGAGCAAGGCCCGGCGGCCTCGGGGCCCGGTCAGCCGCGCCTCGCGCGCGTGGACGCGCCGCGGTTCCACGCCCCGCACCGGTTGCAGAGGCGGGGCAGCCCGCCCGGGCAGTCGCGGCCCCTCTGCGCGCGCCCCTTCTTGCCGATGAAACGTGAGCAGCGCGGCTTCTTCGGCTGGGAGGGCCCGCCCGCCTTCTGGGCCGAGGCCTGGCGCCGGCGCTCGCGCGGCCGCGGCGGAGCCGCGCTATCCTGGTCGCAGTCATCCTCGTCGGACTCCGGCTCGTCCTTGGCGGGCGTCGCTGTAGACGCTTGCCTCGACACTCCTGTGCCTGCGCACGTCCATAGCACTACGCAATGGACGTCTGTCGCACTCTGAAGCGCTCCTCCCCAAGGCTCTTGGCATTGGCCCGTGTGGCGCGGTCGCGGTCTGCCGGCCAGGCATCTGCAGCGGGCTCCGGACCTTTGTGTTCCATCGCTTCTGTGCGCAAAGTCGTAGTATGCCTGCGCGTCTGACATGCGACGGCTGCGGAATGTCCTGCACGCTCGCTTCTCCTCGCCCCAGGTCTGATTCGACCCCGCAAGGTTCGCGCCTGCGGTGGCCCAGCAGTTGCGCGGGAGGTGCAGCGCCCGCAGCGCGAGAAGGGCCGTCGAAAGGAGCTGGTCGGGCAAGCGTGGCCGCGCGTTGCACGCGAGGGCGCCGCCGCCGCCAAGGGGGTTCATGTCGACTTTGCCCTGCGCGCGCACATCAGCCTCAGAGCGCACCCTGGCCAGGGGGGTGAAGCTAACATTGCGGGGCGCTGAACTTCCCCACGAGAGCGGGAGTCGGCGTGGACTCAGGGCCCAGCTGGCAGTCGTCGCACGCGTGCCTGGGTTCATTATTGCGCTTGCCCTCCTCCTCCTGGCCCAGGAGAATACCCCAATCGGGCTCGGGGGCCCCCTCGACGCGCTTCTTGCGCGCCTCGGCAAGCTCGCCCCTGGCGAGCTGCCAGGCTGTCCGAAGCCTCGCTGAGACAACTGGGTCCTCTTTGTGCTGCTGCGCCTCCTGAAGGATGTATTGGTCCACTTTGTCTTCGTAGTCCGACTCTTTGAAGACGGGCGCGAAGTCTGAGATGGACTGAAAGCCGAAGCCCCCGCCCAGGCGCGGCTTTACCATGAATGGTAAAGCCGCTGGCGGCACCGTTGTCCGTCAGAAACTTGGCGAAGGCAGCCGATCACCCCGGGGCGGCGGACATGGGCGTGGAACAGTATGGACTGATATGGAAGATGCAATACAATATGGGACCGGCTGGGCGACAAGCCCATGAGCATGGCAAGCGTTGGGGGAGGGGGTAGTGAAGAATGCCGCGCCGACGGCGCCTGCAATCCATGCTGCCCCCGTCCTTCTGCCCCCGCCGCCCCTCGTTGTCGCCGCCCCCCCCGCCCCCCCCCCCCCTTGCTCCTTCGCTGGGGGGTGGCGGGGGGGGGGGGGGGGCAGAAGGGGGGGGGTCGAGCCACGCGGCCCGCGTGCGCGGACGAGCCCCGGCGAGCCTGCCTTGCGGGCGCGCGAGAAAGGGGGCGCCGCAGCCGGCGCTGCCGTTGCCGCCGGTCCGTCGCCGCCGCCGCCGCTCGTTCGCTCGCTCGCTCGCTTCCCAGCTTCCCGCCCTGAGAGGGGAGGCGAGCAGAGCGCGGGGGGCGCGGCGGGGCTCGCGGGAAGGAGAGGCAGCGGGGAGGGGTCGAGGAGGAAGAAGGAGAAAGTGAGGTACTTATTTCGTGCTCCTGTCTGCCGCAGTCCAGAATGGCCGACTCAGTCCGGCGATTCTTGCAGGAAATTACCGCGGCAGGCTGCGGCCCAGCCGCGCGGGGGCCAGTCTCTCCTAATGGACGCTGCCGCTGCAGCGCCAAAGCCTTCCTCGCAGACCCAAGCAAACGGCCGGTTGCGGCGCCGGGGGACGAAGGAACCGTCCGCGTCATATTGGGCAGCTGCAACATGCAATCTGCTCCTGGGCCCGTTCGGGAGGAACCAACGGACTGCTTCGGGATTGCCCGAGGGTGGCTCCGCGTCGCTCGCAGCAGCCGTGTCTGAGGAACCAAATGAATCCGAACTGGCTGGGCCCTGGCCCGGCAGCGTGCGCGGGCCACCCGGCTCTTCCACGAGGCCTGGGACACGCCGAACAGCCTCGGCGAGGCGGGTCGCCGAGCGAGCTCGCTGCCCCCGCGACGGCGCGCCAATTTCGCGGCGCAGCTCGTCCTGGCCCACGGCCTAGGAGCGGGCGGCCTCGTCGTCGTTGGCCTCCTCGCGCTCCAGAAGATGCATGGCCGCCAAACAGACGCGACGGATATCCGCTGAGGACTCCAGGCGCGCGTCGGAGCACCGCGCTGCCATAGGCCACCGCGTGCGACGGTCCGTCGTCATCTCGCCTGCTGGCGCGTCAGTCCAGTTTCCCAACTCGGAACGGCCCTCCACGCTGAGACGCAAGCGGTCGGCAACGCCGGGTAACTTGCGCCGCAGCGAACATCTGGAAACCGCGCGGGTTTGGGAGGGCGCGAGCGCCAGGTGTGGAAGCGTGCGCGAGGCCCGCATGCACCCCATGAACTTGTAGTAGCTCATGGGGGCATGGCGGATTAGGGACTCATCAACCCCAAACCGCTGCTACCTCTGGTGTCGATATCTCGAACCAGAAAATCTGCGTTCGCGCTGCGCGTGGGGAGCTCGTCGTAGAGCTGCCGCAGCAGCGGGGGTTTTGGTTCGACGCATGCCAGAGCAGCGATGAAGAACGCTGCCCCGCCGTGGGTCTTCCCCCTGCTGATGCGCGCCACCAGTGATCGGCAAGAGCACCTGTCGTGGGCAAAGGAATGCCGTTGAGCATGGCGAAACCTGAGACTGGACACAACGACATGCACGACGAGCTTCGCGAACAAAGCAATCGCGCCCGCAGTCGACTGAGCCAAATTCAGAATATGTCTCCAAACCCGCTGTTCAAGTTCCTGCGCCGTTGGCGGAACAGACGCGCCTAAACCTGGCCGGCTGAATCGTTCCAACAACGGGGAATCGAAAGGGATATGGGCGATACCTTAATTGCGCGACAGCCACTTCAGGCCAACCCAGACCCCAAGTGCGGCCGAAGGGCGGCGACCAGCAACGTCCTCCAGCCACACTGCCAAGTCGAGTGCAGACGGCGCGTCCGCGGACCCTGTGAGAGGCAGAGATTGCTGGGCAATCCATCGTGTCCACCTGCGCCAAACGTAACACGCGTGATTCACACTGCGCGCATCGTAGCGACTGGCTATCCTCGCCGCGAGACGCTCCAACCACTCTGTGCAACGCCCGCTGGCGTCGGCAGAAGCGATCTCTGCGGCGAAACGGCTGTGGTTGATGAGCTGTTCGAACAGAGTCGCCGCGGCATGACCTGCACGCTTACGACGGTCTGCATCCACGAACACCACGGACGCACTTGCTGCCTGGGCAGGGCGCCACCAGGGCGACTGCGAAGCAGGAGCGCTGATGCGTGGTATCTTCGGCGCCAGTTCATTCGGCCCCCGAGGCTGCACCGGGCCGGGGAAAAGATGGCGGATGCCACCTTGGATCGGTGCCCTCAAACGGGTTTGCAACGCCCTGCATGCGTTGTCCCTGACGGCAGGGAAGCCTACGGAACAAACGCTGCCAGCGACGCGTGCGATCTCATCTGGACGCAAGCCTGCGAGATCGGAAAGCTGGCAGCCAGAGCGTGCCAGCGCTTCTCTCTGCAGGCGTTGCGCTTCCCAGCGGGACTGGTTCGGGGGGGGCGCATCCATCGCGGGCCAATCGAAAAAAACATGCGCCCCTCGAGCCCGCTGAAGGGAGGAGGGGAGGAGGAGAGCATGCTCATGACCACCGCCCCTCGCTTCCCCACGTGCCTTCCCTGAGTCATTTGGTGAATTCTCTGCCATCCCACTCCCAACGATAATATCCATCAGAACCTACCCGTCCTCCCCATAACCGATGCTTCTAGGAGGAGGAGGACGGGTCGCCTCGGAGAGCGAGCGGGGGGGGCCTAACATAACGCCGCCCCCCCCCCCGCCGTATAGATCGGCACCAGAAACTGTGATTCCCGACGCACTGCGGCACTGCCGGGGACGCACTGGGGGGGGAACCCTACGTTTGCGGGGCAGGAGAACCCAGAATCGAATCGACGCGTCGGATCGGCGATAGAAGTCAATCGGATCGGCGGAAATCGGCAGCCGAGTCGGGAGGAGTCGAATCGACAGACATCGGCAGGCCAGTAGGCCTCTGATGATAAATCAGACTCCAAAGCGGAATTCAAAGTCGAATCGAATCGGAATCGGAAACTTTCGAAAGAGAACCGAATCGAATCGGAAAAATCAAAATAAACCCTGTTATGGCCCAGCTGGACCTGGGACAGAAGAACATCCGTCAAGAACATGAGATCCTCCGACGGCCGAGATGAAGAGAATTCGAGGGTACCCTCTCCCAGGATGCACAAGAACATCTAACAAACATCCACAGAACACCAAACCGACCTCGATCGTATGACCTCGGTCCGACAGTAATAAAAGCACCCTCCACGCGTCCGTC